ATGTGTGAATGAGAGAGAATGATGGTGCTAGCAGAATGAAATGAGAACCCAACTCTTATCTCTGCCTCCCCATCCAAACTCCCTCTCCACATTCCTTTAATTAGAATTATATATATATCTCTATGTGTAAATAAACCCAACCATTATTTAAGATTCAGTTGTCTGTCATTAAATCAAGTTGCCCCAAAACAGAACACATTCAAAGGTTCTGAAGCCATTCCTACATGGTAAGATGATTTGGTTAGGGTTTCCTTTTCTTGGAAGCAGTGAGATCCACATGGATATAAAGTCATTCGGCTCATGCATAGAACACTAGACATCATATGCTTCTTGATATACTGTATGTGAGGAGTGTGTCAGGATTTGATGTAACAGAATCCTGACTCGGTGTTGGAAGGAGAAACAAGGAGAGCAGCGTCCGGTTGTGCTTCTGTAAGCTGAATAGATTCAGAGCTGGACGTTTTTGCATTATTCATAGAAGGAGTAAGGTGGATCAAGGAAGTAAAAGAGCAAACTATACAGTATGTTTTACTAGAAATTCACATTTCAAATTCACAGGTCACAGTGGTGAAATCTCCAAAACCCAAAATACTGGAATCCAATATGTTCAGACTTTTGACTACAGCAAAGGTGCAATGAATTCATTTTGGAGCACATATTTCAGTTTGGCTTTTTCTGGCACTGACATTCTAGAATATTGTACATAGGTGACACAACTGTTATTGCATGGTATTTTCTGGCATGGCTGTAATGGCTTTTTGTTACCATGAATATATGATATGCGGTATAATGTAGTATATATTATTATTATGATTATATACATTTTGCACATGAGACAAAGAGATGCCGCCCGAGGCACAGCCTCAAATCTCTGATGGCGTTATTATGTTCTGACGGGATTTTTCATTTGAATGTTCATTCAAAAATCTACCAGTGCATGGCCAGCTTAAAACGAGAATTCCCCTCACTTGTAAAGATTTCCTCTCACTTCCTGTTATGGGACAGGGACACAAACAGCAAAAAAATAAATAAACTGACCGGACTTTTACAATACCAGTGCATTCGATATTTTTGTTGTTTTTAAGAATTCTAGTAGCAGATTCTAAATTAAGAGACCTGAGAAGATCTGCCCTCATTGGCTAGTTTGGTTTGTCTGATGCCAAGATTGGGAAATGTTACAACAAAGAGAAAACAGGAAGCTTTCTTAATTTGGTACATATTAATTGAGCCCTGCTTCTCCCCGGAATGTAGAAATTGCTGACTTTCAACGTTTGCTAAGTATTTATTACTCACGGCAAGCAGCTGCTGAGAGTTGTACATGTTGCGAAGTGGGTGACTAGGATGAGATCATTATTCCGTGACCATATGGTCTAGGTAGTCATTACATTGCAGGGTGCACCCAGTGCCTAGTTTATGGCCTGCTGTAAAGAAAAGATCCAAAACCACCACTAGGCGTGCAAGCAAAAACAACTTTCAGAGATACAGTATGCTAAGATAATGAGAGGAGTAGTCAGCAGAATGTTGATATACTATATACAGTAAGTAATTATAAAAAGTTCAATATTTATTACTCAAAAAAACACAAAATCACTCATGTAATATCACAAAACAATACACAATAAAACTAAAACAATAACCCACCACCATAAAAACAATACCTTAACCCCATACGATCCCCTGCTGCCGATTCATAGGGTAGCATATACACTCAGGACCGGATTTCACACAAGACCAACCAAGGCCCGGCCTTCGGGCAGCAGGGAGTAGTGGGGCAGCAGAGGTGTGGAATTCCTATCTCCCGATGCCCGGCACATGCAGTTCTGGGCGCCGGGCGGGTAGTTGTTTTCTACATTTAGCCCTGCTTTGGGCAAGCAGGGCTAAATGTAGAGCAGGGAAGCCGCCGCTCGTTTTGTACAACTTATCTTGGTGATGTCACCAAGATCACTTGTATGCAGCCTGCGGGTCTGCCATTCTTCATTGGGGGGGAGGGGGGTGCGTGTTGGCGAGTAGGGTGGTGCATTGAGGAACCTGGCCTTTGTACAGCAGGGAGAGCAAATCCGGCCCTGTATACACTGTGCTCTGGAAACACATTGTTTTTACACATAAAAAGTTATTAAACATACAAACTCTTAGCAAAGTATATTTTTGATATATAGAGTATATATAAATCCTGTGAGGCACAACCTCTATCTCCTGACTCATAACCACTGCTGCCCCACTCTTAGTATTTATCAGTCACCTTATTGATATGCTTTATGTGCTGATACTCAGGTGCTGTCAGGTACTTTTTCAGCAGAATATGGATCCTAAACATGGTGGGCAAGGTCGAAGAGGGGTCAGGAAAAAACCGACTTCAAAGAGGGTGATGCTGAGCCAGACCAATCAGAGCAGTACAAGAGGGTAGAACAAAGGGTAGTAAGAGGTCAAGCATTGAGTCAAACCAACCAGACGGAGGTGGTACCAAATAATGAACAGGAGCATAGGTGTCAAACGGGTAACACCAGGAGGTCCATAACCAGTTGTCCTAGCTAGATTCTAGATCTCAACCAAAGTCAAGGTTCTGAGCAAAGGCCAAAGCACCAAAAGTTCAACTGAGACCAAGCTGGGGAAGTCGGTAATAATGACAGCCCAGAAAAAAGCAAGACAACAGCAAAAGATGTCACCGGAGCCAAGGAAATATTACAATGGGCAACTGGACTCTAGGGTGTTTGTTTATTAGGAGCAAAGGGACTTTGGTGGGCTGAAAACAAATGAAGAAAAGCCATGATGGACCAATAGGACAAAGGCAGGGCTAAAGGATACTGTTAGAGACCACTGGATGGATGATTTGATGGTCAGTCAACTTACTGACTCCCAACCATGCAACCAACAACCGTTTGATTTAGGCACAGTTACAAAGAGACTGTTCACAAATGTGCTGCTACTGCTGGGCTGCCCTGTCAGAAAGCCCAGAATACTCTGCAAACACAATGTCATGGAAGCACCCTGTATTAAATGTATATTTCTACCAAGCCAGTCTGTCCTTATTATGAGGACAGTCCACCTTTACCTTTTGGACTCATATATCACTGTCACACACACTGTGGGCACATGGATTGCACAAAAACACTTCTTTTTCAGCAAAATGATGAAGGGTTGTTATTACTGTCAATTTTGAATGGGCTGCCAAAGCACCTCATTGCGGCAAAAACACAACTCTTTATCGGGTGCACTAGCTGTCTATAAGGTGCCATTTAAAATGAATGGCATCCCAGAGCACGGAGACACATAACTTGTATTAGCACATACTTTACTGCAGAGAAATACCATGGACCATCCCTTACTGATTTATGTTTTGTAGTTAGTTTTCTGTTGCTGTTGACAGCTGTAGGTACCTGCAAACCCAAGAAAAGTCTTTTGCCCATGCAGTATTGATGGCCCATTGACCAGAAGGTGGAAGTGCGTATCTTGCCTGAATATTGTGCTTCTAGAAGTGCTACTAGCAATATTACAATTTTCAGAGTGCCAGACATTACAGTCTGCATTGGCAGTGCTTTATTGTTTCTTGAAAAGGTGTGTAGGTCAAATCTAAGACGTCATTCATGCAGGCATTAAAAATGCTGTGTGTAGATGTATCCAGCGTATTGTTTTACATGCATCAGTATAGAAATCTATGGGCCCATTCACACAGTTGCATCCAGGGCCACAATGTTGTGCTGCATTCAGCAGCATAAAAAAATTAGGAAACAGCTGTGTCCGGGCTCATATAGGTTAGCATTTTATTCTCTTTGTGCATTTAAATGTTTTTCTAACGTTAACAAGCATACAGAGGTAAAACAGCCTATTGACCACCTAGCAACCGAGGACACTAGGTGGCAGAAGCTGCCAGCATCCTAGCAACCTAGATGGCAGCAACCTGGCAGAAGCTACCTACTGACCATATGAGCTGTACTGCTGGATGCATTGAAATGTTACACAAAAGTTATATGTGTTCTGGCAGCTAAAAACACATGATCTTGCTGCCAGCTTCTGCCACCAATATGCTACATTTTAGTATAGGTCCGTGTGAATGAGGCTTTAGGTTTGGCACAGTGACGTACACTGGTGGGTATTAGTTGCATCTGCTTATTAGGCTTTTCATTATAATTAGATATTTTATAATTTAATTGCAGTGTAAAAATATTTGCACATCACTCACACAGTATTAAAGTGAACTCAAGAAGTGAAATATTGCTTTTATTATAGGGAAACTTTAAAAAATTTTAATGGTGCAAAAGCAGTACCCTAAAAATCTACTTTTTTTTGTCTTAAATGCCTCATAAAAAATAGTGCTTCACTTCTCATGACACTCCTTCATAGCTAAATATCTGCAGTGTGAGATCTGAGGAACTGCTAGCCTTACGAGATTTGGAGCGAAATTTGATGATGTCACTGCCGTACTGTTCACTGTTTTTGCTGGAGGCTCTGACATCAGGAAGCAAAGCTCTGCCTCTACCAAGATGGCCTCCAAACAGTGCAGAGCAAGGCATGGAAGTCAGTGAGTAACCAAGTAATTCATTCTGTTCAGCCATCGGGTGACCTGAAGTCTAGATGAAGATCACCAGGTGGCATTGTAAGTGTGTCACATCATTAGATACTGCATCTTGTAGACTTAAAGGAAAATAAGAGGATTAGATAGGCAGAGTCTCTGTCCAGCACTAATACACAGAAGCTGAGGTTTGCATAAGTTACAAATTAATAACACACACACCGTCTCAACATTGACTCTAATTTCCTTTTGTTCCATATGTGGACATTCAATACTTAGTCTTCTTGGAATGCACTGGTTCAGGCACAATTGATCTTTGACTGTTATTGGCTGCTGCGTCAGCATATCGGTCCTTCTACCTGCTTCTGTTCATTGCTTGTTTGTAAACATTAATAACATTTTTCAAAAGGAAAACATAGGAAATAAAATTGACTGTAAATCTTTCTAGTTGATATCATTCTATATTAATTTAATTATTTTCTTGTCTCTGCAGTCCACCCACATTGCACAGGCCAGCTTTCAAATCGATGCCTTTGGAACTTCGTTCATCTTGGATGTTGAACTGAACCAGTAAGTACAACATTGTACAAGTTGTACATCAAGCTATTTCAAATGCTGATGAAATCACTTACAATATATGCTGCTTCCGGATGTTTAAAATGTTAGTCTCCTGCAGAATCAGCTGGTCCCCTGAGCACTGGCCCTGATATCCTGTTTTAGAGTGACTTCTTTCCCTTGCAAGGTCCTATGGAGCCACTCTTGTGTGTGCTAGTAAGCTGTGTGTGTCTCCACAAACACACAGACACAGCAAGGCAAGTAGCTCCCCTCCGCTCACCTTCCTTCTCCCTTCTCCAAACTAGTAGATAGACAGCTTGTGATCTTGTACTGGACAGGAAAGTTAGGGAAGCCGAGCTGAGAGAGTTGGAACTGTTTGTAAACATGATGACTGTAAGTGCTTGGACAAAAGATTAAGAAATACTTTGCTTGGCAATTTATATTTGTTTGATCTGGATTCATTATTGAAAAAAAGGTTTGAGAGTTTGGTTTATGGAGTGTTTACATTCCATAGTTCACATTTAAAAGTTTAGTGACAGCTTCTCAGATGTCAGATTATGTTTTATTACATCATTTTCAGAAGTCTTCTTCTTTTAAGTTACAGATTTTATGTAATCCAGTTAATGGCAGAATGATTATAGGATTTTACAGCAGCACCAAAGTGAGAACTGATTCAGGGGAACAAAATATGTAAAGCTAAAATATATACTGTCCCATGTTCATACCCAGCTGTCAATAAGAAGATTTTTTTTATTAAAACAGACATCTGTATGTGCTTAGCATTTCTGTCATTAATATTTTATAATTACAAATGTTTGCTAGCTTGGATAATACTCATTAGTAGTTAGTTCCTTCAGTCGACTGCCATGCCATTGTCATTGTTCCTCATGTGACATCAATACACTGAAGAGTATGCCTTATCATCAATGTATTTGCTTCTCTATGACTTAACCATTAGACATGTGCAAAATAAAATAATTTGTTTCAGATGAAACAAATGTAAACGAAAAGCGTCTTCATTCGTTTCGTCAAAGGAAACAAATTTTTATGTTTCGGATTGGAGGCAACAAGCTTTCGAATCCGAAACCGCAGAACCCCCATTTTTAAAGGGGATCTTGGTATACACTAAGATGGCGGCACCCTCATGTTCGAGTGCCGCCATCTCGGTGTAAACTTAGATCTACTCCAAAATGACGGCCGCCGCTCGTTCAGCGTGTGACGTCACCTTCATGTGACATCACACGATCCGCCTCCAAGATGGCGGCGGGCATGCACAGAACACACTGGCGGCCAATATGGCCGCCGGCGTGTTCTCACAATGAATTAATGTATGCCCGAATATCGTTTTAGTATATTTGGGCCTATATTAAATTCATTATTTGGGATTCTGACGAACCTTGGAATCAACTGATTTTCGTTGATTTGCAGGTTCATCCGAATCCGAATGAACATGTCTATTAACCATCAATGAAAAGAAGAGTAACAGTACAGAAGTATTAATTTAGTAGAGGTAAACCCAATTATAAAATCTCATATATGCTTTACACATTAGTGTAATTTCAAAAGTATTTTTTTATTTTTACAACTCTGTTGCTTTAATTAAAAACATTGCCTGGTGTAATATTGACCATCACCTTGTTGAGTTGGAGCTGTTCCTGCCCCCTCCATTGGCACCTGGTTTCTTTTTGTTCCTACCCAGCCTCCTTTCCTTTTCTTTTCCCTCTGGCTATACCGTTTCTCTCCTGCCCCAGTCTTCTGATACCTGTTTTCTATCATTGCAATCTTTCTCTGTAATTGGGACAACCCAAAGGGTCTCGTTGTCTACGCAGAGCCTATTCATAATGTTTTTTTGAGTTAATTGAGTTATTCTCCGCTTTTCCATCACACACAACTGGCCACATGTCCCTTGAGATCTTGTGTGAAAGTGTATTGTCATTATCTATGGATTTAGTGACCGACGGCAAGTCCCAATGTACACCTGTATCTTCTGACTTAAGCTTGCAAAAACTCCCATACACTTACTGTATAGTAAAAAAAAAATACCTGGGGATCCCACCATGAAGATCCTTGATCAGGCACTTCCTGTAGGGTGACATAGCTCTGTCCCTGTCTTGTAGTTGTGCTCCTGCAATGCCACCCTGTCACACAGAAAATGGAGACTGAAAGTGGCTGTTTCATTTGCACATTGCCCATGAATTTTCCAAAGTTGTCACCATCAGGAATCCTGCCCCCTGAGAAATGCCATGAAGACACCGCTAGAGTTCATGTAGACAGGAAGTACTTTAGTAAACTATGTTCACAAGTTGACAAGTGCATGTAAAACTGTAGAACCGGGCATAGGAGAAGATCTTGAGGCTTTTAATGAACAGGATGGAGGTGGGAGGAGATCCCCTGCCAGTCTCATGGATATGATAGGATGGAAGGGGATCCTCAAAGCCAGACTGGAGGACAGGATGGAGGTAGGAAAAGATCCCTCAGTCAGGGTCAATGACAAGTTGGAGGTTGGATGAGATCTTGCGGCCTGTCTTGTGGATAGGATGGGAGTAGGAGAACATTTTCCAAATGGGTTCATGGACGGAATGGGGGTATGTGAGAAAATCATCTAACCAGCCTCCTAAACTAATGGATAGGATTGGGGCGGAAGGACATCTCTCAGCCAGGTTCATGGACAGAATGGGGATGTGTGGAGATCCTCAGCAAAGGTCAATGACAGGATTGTGGTAGGAGGAGATCCCTCAGCCAGGCTCATGGATAGGATAGGATAGGGGTGAAAAGACATATCATAGCCAGGTTTATTGACAGGATGGGGATGGGAGAAGATGCTTGGCCAGGGTCAAGGACAGAATTGAGATAGCAGGAGATCCCTCAGCCAGGTTCATAGATAGGATGTTGGGGAAATTAGATATTGCAGCCAGGCTCATGGAAAGTATGGGGATGAGTGTAGATCCCCCAGACGGGGTCACAGATAGTATGGGGGGTGGGAGGAGATCCCTGCAGTCAGGTTCATGGATAGGATGGGGATGGAAGGAAATCCTCTCAGCCAGGCTCACGGACAGGATGTGGATGTGAGGAGATGGCCCAAGCCAGACTCATGGACAGAAGCATGTGATGAGGAAATGAATCCTGCCTCACGCCATAAAAAAACTGAATACAGTGTTGCTGTTATCTACGTATAAGCAGTCAATCCAGACTCATGGTTGTCCTGTTCATTTATGACTGTTAAACTTTCCATAAGCACTGCATTAGGAGGTTGTATCTTACATATTGGAAGAGATAATTACTGATAAGTGTCCATTCATTATTAATATGCTGCTCCCGAAGTGACAGTGCAGATAGACACATTCTGTCAATTCTACACAGGCCGAGGGGAAATGCCATTAAGAGCTGGCATGTCTATTCTGTCAAAACTTAAATTACCGTCTGGCTTTACAAAAGATTTGGCGCAGATAAACTTTACTAAGCTCTGCATTTTGCATTGCATGAACCTCATAATGGTTTAAATGAAACTACAATCTTTTCTAGATTATTTTAAAAGGAAAAACCTGGAAGCTGTAGAAAAGGAGACTTTAAAATACCAAACCAGCAGGATTTCCACATTATTTTAGAAATCCATTTTGGTGAACTTGACACAAAGTAGCTGCTTTACTTAAGGAACAGAGCATGTTCACATTGAAAATGTTAATGAAGCATAGTGAATGTGGTAAAAACAATTTACTTTGCAAATAATACCCAATCACGTGCAAGGAAAATAACAAAAACAGGATTTTTGCTTGTACCTCATTGGATGATAAAAGTCAGCTTATGATTTGATTTGATCAGAGTTCAGGATTAACTACTGAGAGATTTTTTTCTCCTCCTTACTGTATGAAAAACCAAAACGAAAAAAAGTTTTGGCTGGTAAAACAGTGAAATCCAAATAAACATCAAATTATCCAATTATAAACTTGTTAAAATTAATTATTTTTTTAATGCAGCCAATATAAGCACATAGAATCTGTCTTTATGTAAGCTTTTTACAGTCCTCTACACAGCATAAATCAGACTGTGAGGGTTGGGTCACCGAGGTCAGTTTTTGTTTTACGTGATACTTGATGTGTAATTCTAACATGCAGGAGATGAGCAGACAGAAATTAAGTCATCGGTGTCCTTAATTTTCCATCCAGCAGACTGAAGGTTAGAAAGTGACATTGCTGTATTCCTTCATTTGAAAAGTCAACTCTATACACCGCAAGGATTTTAGCAAATTCCAGATTTTGTTTTCTCTGTGAAAAATGTGTTTGTTATATAAAACTGACTACAGTATGTCATTTCTGCAACTGATTGCTACAGTAGGTGGGAGGTTCTGTCTTCCTTATGAACACATAGGCCCCTTTCACATCGGCATTCTGATCAGGTTCGCCTCTCAGTTTTTCAGGTGGCTCTGATTAGAAGCCGGATGTTAGTCTATGTGCAGCTGGATCTAAATGGACAAATGCCCGTTCACATCCTGTTATTCCCCGTTATTCCGGCCAGGTCTGTAAAAACAAACAGAGTCAGAGTTCTGTTTCAACTTACTTGACCATGCCGTTGGGAGCCCGATGTAAGTGTATGGGCTGCCGGATCTAAATAGACCAACATGGGTCCGGCAATTTCAGTTTTTCCTCCATAACGAGATGGAGGAAAAAGTGGAGGGACACAGATCTAACAACGTTGACCTCTGTACCAATCAGCAGAGGATCCATGCATGGATCCCCTGCGGATCAGAACTGAAGGTGCTGGCCTGAAAGGGGCCATAGGCAGTCTCCTGGTTGTAATAAGAAAAGAGCAGTGATCCAATCATACCAGGAGACATGATCTTTCCAAACATTATACAGAATAACCCCAGGTTTCAAAATGGCCAGGAAACGGCATTTATTTTTTTTGCAAGGTTTTCATTTAAAGATTTAGGGATTTTGACCTAAACTACCCCTCCCCCAGATGAATATTTACCTTCTGGCAGCTGCAGCCTCCAGTACTTGTTTAGTCTACTGTGCTCT